AGATCTTGGAAAAGGTTGTGGCTAAACAACTCACAGCTGCTCTTGATGAACATAACATCTATGATAGCTTCCAGTCAGGTTTTCGTAGAGCTCATTCTACTGAAACAGCTCTTCTTAGGGTCTCTAATGACCTTCTGACTCACAGTGATGCAGGGGACTGTTCTGTTCTGGTCCTGCTGGACCTGACTGCAGCCTTTGACACTGTTTACCATCACCTGCTACTGGAGAGGCTGAGAGACTGGGTAGGCCTATCAGGATCTGCTCTGGAGTGGTTCTCCTCTTATCTTTCTGAGCGCTCCTTTTCTGTGGCCATCTCCAAGTTTAGGTCCTCCACCACCTCTCTTACCCATGGTGTCCCACAAGGTTCTGTGCTGGGGCCTCTGCTCTTCCTCCTCTATCTGCTTCCTCTTCAGCACATCCTGAGCTCCTTCAAGGGAATCTCCTACCATCTTTACGCAGATGACATCCAACTGTACATCTCCTTTAAGCCCCATGAGATGTCTACGCTGCAGCTGTTACACACCTGCTTAGACTCTATCAAAACCTGGTTGGCTGGGAGCTTTCTTCAGCTGAATGAAGATAAGACTGAGATCCTCATCTGTGCCCCAGACAAGCTGGTTCCCAAAGTCAGAGACTCTCTTGGTCAGCTTGCTTCTCACACCAAACCTTCTGTCAGGAATCTTGGCGTGACCTTTGACCCGGCTCTCACCCTGGATTCTCATGTCAGTTCTCTTGTTGGCTCTTCCTTCTTCCATCTCAGGAACGTTGCTAAGCTGAGTCCCATTCTTCCCGCTCTGAACTTGAGACAGTTCTCCACACCTTCATCTCCTCACGCTTAGACTACTGTAACTCTCTTTTCACGTGTCTGAGCAGAACCTCCCTGAACCGTCTACAGGTGGTTCAGAACGCCTGTGCTCGGCTTCTGACCAAGTCCTCCAAACACACCCACATCACCCCGCTTCTCCTCCAGCTTCACTGGCTGCCAGTCACCTTCAGGGTTCATTTCAAGATCCTGGTTCTGGTCTATAGGGCCTTACATGGACAAGCACCATCTTACATTGGTGATCTTCTTAGTCCCTACACCCCCAGCAGGTCCCTGAGGTCCAGTGATCAAAGCCTACTGGTTGTGCAGCACCAGGCTTAAGACCAAAGGTGACAGATCATCTGCTGCTGTGGCCCCCAGACTCTGGACCTCTCTCCCCCTGAGCCTGAGATCAGTGGACTCAGTGGTCTCCTTTAAAAAGCAGCTGAAGACTCACTTGTTCAAGCTGGCTTTTGTATGACCTTCTTCACCTCTCTCTCTTTATTCTGCTCTCCCCACCTATTCCACCTTCCTCAGGATCCACTGGTTTCCCTCTTTCCTGCTCACTCTCTCTCTCTCTTAACATTTTTTCTTTTAAATCTCAATTGCCTATTTTTGCTCATTTTAAACATTTTCTAAATTCTTTTTAATAGTTTTACATTTTTTGTTTTTGTGAAGCGTCTCGTGATTTTTATCCTGAGAGGTGCTGTAGAAATGATATTTTTCTTCTTCTTCTTCTTCAGTTAGGTTGTCAGCAGAGTCCTTCACTTATTTGGGAGTTAAAGTTACAAAATCCTACTCTGGTTTGTTTAGAAGTAACCTTACTCCTTTGTTAGATCAATGCAAACAAGATATTAAAAGATGGGCGAGTTTGCCATTATCTTTTACTGGGAGAACAAATTCTGTTAAGATGACTATCGTACCAAAATTCTTATATTTATTTCAAGCGTTGCCTGTGTATACAGGGAGTGCAGAATTATTAGGCAAATGAGTATTTTGTCCACATCATCCTCTTCATGCATGTTGTTTTACTCCAAGCTGTATGGGCTGGAAAGCCTGCTACCAATTGAGCATATTAGGTGATGTGCATCTCTGTAATGAGAAGGGGTGTGGTCTAATGACATCACCACCCTATATCAGGTGTGCATAATTATTAGGCAACTTCCTTTGCTTTGGCAAAATGGGTCAAAAGAAGGACTTGACAGGCTCAGAAAGGTCAAAAATAGTGAGATACCTTGCAGAGGGATGCAGCAGTCTTAAAACTGCAAAGCTTCTGAAGCGTGATCATCGAACAATCAAGCGTTTCATTCTAAATAGTCAACAGGGTCACAAGAAGCGTGTGGACAAACCAAGGCGCAAAATAACTGCCCATGAAGTGAGAAAAGTCAAGCGTGCAGCTGCCAAGATGCCACTTGCCACCAGTTTGGCCGTATTTCAGAGCTGCAACATCACTGGAGTGCCCAAAAGCACAAGGTGTGCAATACTCAGAGACATGGCCAAGGTAAGAAAGGCTGAAAGACGACCACCACTGAACAAGACACACAAGCTGAAACGTCAAGACTGGGCCAAGAAATATCTCCAGACTGATGTTTCTAAGGTTTTATGGACTGATGAAATGAGAGTGAGTCTTGATGGGCCAGATGGATGGGCCCGTGGCTGGACTGGTAAAGGGCAGAGAGCTCCAATCCCACTCAGACGCCAGCAAGGTGGAGGTGGAGTACTGGTTTGGGCTGGTATCATCAAAGATGAGCTTGTGGGGCCTTTTCGGGTTGAGGATGGAGTCGAGCTCAACTCTCAGTCCTACTGCCAATTTCTGGAAGACACCTTCTTCAAGCAGTCTTCTCTCTGCACATCTCCGTTAAGAACCCCCCCCAGACGCTGCGCTCCGTTCTCCTGACCTCCACTGGAGTTTCCAGTGCGCTTTATGTTCTCGTTCTTAAATAAACTGTTATTAATTTGTTAAAACCCGTGAGTGTGTTGTGATTCTGGGTTAAACGCCTTCCCCAGACCATGACAGATACGTACCTCCGGCTTTTCTTGAAGATAAGAAATTTGCATGAATTCCCCAACAATGGGATCATTTTGGGACTTTTAGAAAAGAGATACTTGTAATGTAATTATAACCGTTTTATTCACAAATTAAAACAAAGCCATCCTTTCCCACTTTTCATAAAGACCTCAGCTCTTCTTCACCAGACACAAAACAAGCTATGGGATTTGTCCATAAAATTATTGACTTGAATCTCTTTCAAAGAAGAAACCAAGATGTAAATTATGTTATTTGTGTTTTTTATTTTGTATTTATTGTTACTGTTCTTTTAACTTTTGTATGTACCCTGTCTCAACTTATTCTTTTCTGCTTCATTGTTCTTCGAACAGAATAGCAGCCTGTTATACTGAGCCAGGATTCTCTGGAGGTTTCTTCCTGTTAAAAGGGAGTTTTCCTCTCCACTGTCGCTACATGCTTGCTCAATACGAGGATTGCTGTAAAGACTCTGACTCTAGTCAGTGACTCGATGCAACCTGCTGGGTTCCTTATATAGGAAACTTTTTTCTGATTGGCTTAATGACCTGACCTGTGTTGTTTACTATGGTGAAGGTCCTTGAGACAACTCTTGTTGTGATTTGACGCTTTATAAATAAAGTGAACTGAAAAAAACTTGAAGGTGTCCTCGTAAGCAAGGCGCCTGGCCTAGCAAGACATCGCCTTGTGGGGCCCGACGCCTTGACACTGAAAAACAACAGGTTTATATGGTTATATGTTATGAAACTAACAATATTTTTCAACAGCCGGTCGTCTTTTCATTTATTTACAACAACATTTTGATGGATATTTCCAGAGATTAATGGTAAAATCTACACACTGTCTCTTTAATTTTGTCGATAAGGTCCTCTTGCTGGGGTTCACTTTTTGACCTCGGCTGCATTCCAAACGCTTTGGAAACCAAAATCATTTCCTGGAATGATGCAGTAGCTTCACGTTATGGGACCATAAGCATCAACAGGTTTGAGGAGATGTCATGTTTCTGCTCCACCAGCAGGTGTCGCCATATGAGGCTGAAGCACTAATGTTATCATGCTTCACATAAACATCCTTACCGTACACGTGGAACCTTTAACGTCCACCATCAGCAGCAGCTGGGAGGATTTTGGGTTTTTCGCTGTGAGCCTCAAAGGGAAGGGGTGTGTGTGTGTGTGTGTGTGTGTGTGTGTGTGTGTGTGTGTGTGTGTGTGGAGAGTTTAATTTCTTCAGAGGTAAAATGGATTCTGTATCAGTTTTCCATGGAAAAAACTCACAAGCAAAGAAACGGATAACATTAGTTTTCATGCACGTTGATTTAACATTTATTTTGATTGCAGACAGGGGCGGATCTACAAAATTATTTATGGGGTGGCAGAAGAGGGGCAAACATTTTTCTAGGGTGGCAATACATATATATATATATATATATATATATAATATTTCACTGCAACGAGATATTGTACTTTGGTTTTATTGTTTAATCAGAAACACGTTTTCCTTTTTCTTTTCCCTGTGTTTACATATTCATTTGTTTTGGGTTCTCGTTTAATAAGCTTACAGGCCCATCACGAAAATAAAACACATAATAAAATTATGTCCTTGCTACAACAGCTGAATGTGGCAGTTTCCATGTTGCTCAGCAAAACAATTTACACATTCATCAAGATCCAAAGATTGTGCCCGTTTTGATTCAATGCTGAGTACAGCCTAGCTTCGTAGTCTTTTCTCTGTCAAAGCAGACTGCAAATAGGTCTTTATGAGCCTGAGAGTTGAAAAACTTCGATTTTTCTTGAATTTATAGCTGCCAGCTGGGGTGACAGCAGGGGTAGCAAGGCTTTCTTTTAGGGTGGCAACTGCCACCCTATGCCACCCTTGTAGATCCGCCCCTGATTGCAGAACATTTTTGTTGCATTATCTCTTTTGAATTAGAGCTACAGGTGGCCCATTCTCACAGAGAGAATCTTCAGCGACGTTCAGGGTCAACTTCTCCAGACGTGGAGAACGTAACACGCGTTCTCTGGATTAGAATACACGTGGGTGATTAATGAACGCACTGTTGTTTATTGTTTACAGTCCGGGACGTCTGCAGGGTCCGACCCAGGTGCTTTTTGCTCCGCGCCGACCTCCAGCTGGTTAATGAGTAGCCAGGTGTGTGTTGCGTGGTCACTAATGGGAAACGCAGTGTTGCTCACGTGACCTTCTTACTTAACCAGCTGCATGTGAGAGCCGAGCCGCTCATCCTCTGCAGCCCGAGAGGAGAGACAGAAGACTCTGTGACTTATCCGCTGACCCAAAGCAGCATGGAGCTTTCACTGGTAGGGTCACCGCTCAGCTCTGGACGGCTCCACCATTGTCTGCTTTGATTAGGAACGTTCTTATCTATCTGCTCCACAGTTATCACAGCCTTTATGTCTCAAAACAACGTTTTTCACCGTTCTGTGTGTCTTCTATAAAAAGTGCTTCTCAGAAACAACTCTGTGGGAGGAGGCAGAATTGAATGTGTAAAATTCGCGTGGCTCTTTTTGTGTTTTTCTACCACATTAATACACTTTTGAAGGTTTTACCTCTAGGATGGAGGAAACATGCCTGAGGACTAGAGAGCCACGTGACGCCGTGATTGTTGAAGCACTAAGGTCCTTTTCTGACCCTCGCTCTGCAGGCTCCCCCGGCGATTAAAGCCTTCGTGTGTGGCTCTCTGAGCGGGACCTGCTCCACTCTGCTGTTCCAGCCTCTGGACTTGGTGAAGACTCGTCTGCAGACTCTGCAGGGCAGCATGCAGCCCGGGTCAGTTTAGTTATGATCACCACTGATGCCGTCTCAGTCCAACGCTGATGCAGCCGCTGTCTGACTGTTTCAGCTCACGCAGGGTGGGGATGGTGTCCGTGCTCCTCAGTGTGGTGCGGACCGAGAGGCTGCTGGGACTGTGGAAGGGAGTTTCTCCGGTAGGTGCCCCTGACTACTACACGGACCAAGAATCTGCTCCTCGCGGCTCAGACACCAGCTTTTGTTGGGATGCAGGACGTAACCGTAGAATCTCTTCTTCTCTTTCAGTCTTTTGCTCGCACCATCCCGGGTGTGGGGATCTACTTCAGCACCTACTACTCCCTAAAGCAGCACTTCCTCCAGGATGGCCGGCCGAGTGCTGTGCAGGCTGTGCTGCTGGGAGGCGGGGCTCGGACGGTGGCGGGCATCGTGATGCTGCCGATTACGGTGATCAAGACGCGCTTCGAGGTGAGCAGAGTCCCAACGCCAGCGCTCCTTCTAGATGTTCTGCAGAAGCCTGTTAATCACCTGCTGGTTGAAATCGGGAGTGTTGAATCAGGGTTTGAACCCAAACTGGACACTGGAATTGAGTAGCTAAAGGCTAAACGCTTTCGGACTAGCCATTAGCTTATCAGTCCTGTTGAACATAAACTCTTTCTCCAAACTGAGGCCGCTCCACGAGCTAAATGTAGGTGATGAACAGAAATGAGAACATTTGCACTGAAACGTGCTGTAAAGTGCCTCACAGGTGTTTTTTAGCCCTCCGTCTGTGAGACGAGCCTGACTGGTCCCGCTCTGATCCTCCCTTCTCGTTTGGGTTTGTAAACTTTGATTTTCATCTCAGATCGTTTGTGTTTAGAGAGCGAATGACGCACGACGAGGAGGGGGGGCTCGACGCGTTTAGTGTTATTTACCGACTGTCGTTTGTTGGGTTCTCCGTCACGTGAGCTGGTGACGCCGCTGAATTTGGTTATTCTGTATGTTTTTGATCTGATGGTTGTGTCGAACTCATCTGAGCGTCTCCATGCTCCAGTGTGGCAGGTACAGGTACGCGAGTGTGTGTGGGGCGCTACGCAGTGTGTGTCGAACTGAAGGTCCCGCAGCGCTGTTCTCCGGCCTGATGGCCACCCTGCTCAGAGACGTTCCCTTCTCTGGCGTCTACGTGATGTTTTACAGCCAGGCTAAGGCCGCTTTGCCACCAGGTGAATGAAAGATCCAGCGAGGAGCTCCTGATGCTTTAAAACACTTTTTAACCCAACATATTTTCTGTTCTCTTAAGAGATCAGCGCCTCCGCCTCGGCTCCCCTGGCTAACTTCAGCTGTGGGATCCTGGCTGGCGTGCTGGCCTCTCTGATCACTCAGCCTGCTGACGTCATCAAAACACACGTCCAAGTGAATCCCCAGCTGAGGACGGCAGAGGCCGTCAGAAACGTCTACGTGGTAGTTGTCTCCGTCCTCCTTTATGTAGCCACCACGCTGCTTCCATCACATCTAACGCCTCTTCCTGTCCTCTCAGGAGCACGGACTGCAGGGCTTCTTCAGCGGAGCGGTTCCTCGCTCTCTCAGGAGGACCATGATGGCAGCCATGGCGTGGACCGTGTACGAGCAGATGATGACTCGCATTGGACTCAAATCCTGAAGGATGGGGGTGATGGGAATCCTGGGAAAGAAAGAAGAGATGAAGAGAACTTCAGAGCGAGGGCTGCACAGAAAGGTGGACACGGTCTGAAGAGTGGAAGGCTCTCGGTAACTGAGAAGGAGTCACCGTAGGAGATGGCGAGCTCAGGAAGCACACGCCTGGCGACGCGTCTTCGCGGACGTCGAGGGATCTGATCTTTGATGTTAAAATGTTCATGCAGGTTGTTCTAGATTGCTGATTCGTGCAACAGCCGGAGACTTCTCCCCAAACATTTCCCTGCTGTGAGTCGTTATCTTTCAGGACGGCGTCCCAGATGACGCTCAGACATCTGCTCTTTACCCTCGGCAGCGGTCCGAAGCCCCGACTCACACAGAGCAGTAACTTGAGATTACGCGAGTGATATTTATGTTAAAAGTGTGTTTTGTGTGACATTGTTGGTGTTTAACAATAAATGATGCCAAACGTGTGATGAATGAGTCAACCGGATCTAACTGGATCATGCTTCTGACGGTTTGACCTCTGAACTGCTGTCTGGGACTTAACTGCAGTTTGGATGAATTCACCGTGACGCAGCAGACGAACCTTAAAGTTTAACTTTTTCCAGCCTTTCTGGCTAAAACTCGTTCCAGAAACTCCGGTTTAAGGTTGGCTCGACTTCCTTGTGACCTAAAGAGTTGTTTATTGTTTATCTTCAGCTCAGACAGGCATGATTTTACAACTTCCCTTTTATGAAACGATGAACACATGAAAGAGTAAAGCTGTAAAGGAGTGATTTCTACTGGCTCAGACGAGAAGAAACGACTGCGCTCAGCACGAACGATGGCACAAGGCTTATCTCAGCGCTGATACGGATAAGCAGCAAGGGGGGGTGTGGTGACATGACATCAAACGGCAAAAAGAACAAGAGGTTGTAGGATTCAGGTGACCCCCCCCCCCCCCCCAAAAAAAAACAAATCCCAATCAGGGTGATCTGCTGATCTCTAAAGGTTATAAAGGGAAAATATGGAGCGTGTTTGATTAAAAATTTTCTGTAAAAGCAGGAAATCTTGGATGTTGAGTAACAGGAAAGTACGCTTCTCATACTTAAACCACTGCACAGACTGTTTGTTTACTTTCGTGTTTATTTAAGAAAATTCCTTTTAACTAGTTTATCGTGTTGTCTTCGACCTTCTAGAGTTAACCCTGATTTAATCAGTAGAGTCTATCATTACCATGTCTGTACAGGATTCATATTCTGGACAACTTTCTGCTCACAGGATATGTTTGAATAAATAATTTCTCAACAAATGTCCTTGTGTACTTGTTATGATCACTTAGCCTGGAACATTTTATCTCCAGCAAATAAAAGTTACCACACAGGTCAAGTCTTTCACGGAGCAGCCAGCGTCTCCACGTGGTCTTAATATGGTCTTTCCATCCCCACAGTCTTAATATGGGATACTCATCCGACCCGCGAGCCGCCCGCTGGTAACCTCTGCCTCTGCACACGGCACAAAACTCCCCCTAGCGGCCAGAACACTCGTGTTTGACGCCTCTCACAATAACTGGCCAATCATAGGCTGGGATTGGAGTATAAATTTGACGTCATTTCCGCTGGGCGCTCTCTTTTTCACCGTGTGGGCAGACTTCCATACGGCGTTGTTTCGTGGTGAGTTTTAACGGCTTTGTTTTAGCAATAAATGAAGAAAAAAGCCACCAAAGGCACGTTAGGGTGATTCTCCGCCGCGTTATAAAGCAGCGTAGCAGCGAAAGTGTGACTTAGCGAGTCTGAAATGGCTTTTAATTTGGGGTTGTTGGATGCTAACTTTAGCAGCTAAGTCGTTAGCCCCAAACACGCGCTCCTGGCGCTGTTCCGCTTGTCGGCTCGGTTCGGACCTCTGGACGTGGCACACGAACAGATCTAATAAACCCTGTTAGCGTTAAATTAATGACTCCCAAACATGCCTTTAATATCCAGCATACACCACTGGGTTGGTGTAATATGCAGGCCTTTAATGAAGCTAGAAGATGGTGAAAGGTTTGCTCTTCAGCAAAGCTAAAGCCACAGATTGATAAGTTCAGTCTTTTTTTTTTTTTACAGCGTATGTGTGCAGAAGGTCCAGTTCTATTTCTAATCCCAAGGATGGCTGCCAGTCCCATGCGGGGTTAATTTGAGATTTTATTTAAGGTTTTTTAACCCTCAGGGTTCACTTTAATTTACTAAACACCTGAGTGTTTAGAAGAACGTCTGCTGGTTATCATGGCTATAACAAATGTATACATTCATTATTATTATCTTTTGCTTTCTTAGATCTGTTAACTTAAGCCCTGCTCAAACAAAATATTTCCATCATTTTGAGGATTGTAACCCTTCAAATGCCAGTTTTTTTACTCAAAAGTCATTGCTGTAATTTATGAAAAAAGCTATTTTACAAAAAAAAAACACTTTCTTTCAGCATAAAGTTTTTGAGTAGCAGCAGACTGACCATAGGGGACAAAAACGTCCCATTGACTTCCATTCAAACCTCAATTTTTGATCCATATGTGGCCCAAGCAAACTTGTTTATTTAGATCTTGTGCTGTTTGTATTGAATTCAAAAGGTCAGCCTGACCTCTGATAAATAGATAAAAGTTTGACACTCTTACTGAACTTCAAAATGTAGAATACAAAAACGATTAGTATGTTAATGCACCTGTCTGGAGCTCCAGCCAGGTGCATTAACATACTAATCGTTTTTGTTTGGGCCACATATGAAGAAATGATAGAATTTAGTGCTGAAACGTAAAAATCATCATTTTGACTGCTTGTCTCCACAATTAAACCCTAAAATCAGAAAGCATGATTATTTGCTGCAGATGTTACAGGATCAAAAACTGGTTTGAATGGAAGTCAGTGGGCTGTTTTTGTCTGCTAAAGACTTGAATGTTTTTATTTTCATAGTGTTTGGTCTTTTTACAAAATTTGTTCAGAGGGGTTTCGCGACAAAATTTTGTGCCATATGCACAAACAATAGTGACATGCCATCAAAAAGAAAAGCAAAAAAAAAAAACTGCTCAAATGGACACATGTCCCCAATAAAGCCAGAGGGATAATCCCATCATAGTTCCAAGATCATTAATGTCAGATGTCAGCTAGAGCACGGAGGTCAAATATCTAGGCCAGGGCTATTTAAGTCCAGGCAATGATTACTGGTATCCAGCATTTTTATGGGCCATTCCCATCTGTACCGGGTCGGCCCGGGCCGGGTAGCCCCAGTCGGCCCCAGCCTGGCCCGGTTGATTCCACACATCCTTGTCTTAAGCCCATGTGGGCTGATTCTACCCACCAATCAGAGGCTTGCTCTAATGGAAGGTGTGAATTTGCTGTCAGCAGTGGGTGCGTTGGCCCTGGTCGGCCTGAAGCAGACCCTCTCGAGAAAAGGGCTGAGAATGAGCCTTGGTTGGCCCGGAAAAATACCAGGCCACCCAGATATGTAAACAACCTACGCTACCCGGCCCGGTACAGATGGGAATGGCCCATTAGTGGTTTCTCTGGTCCAACATAGAAGATTGAGTGGTTGAGTCACCTGTGCAGCAGCTCATCAGGCTCAGCAGAAGCCTGTTGATCACCTGCAGACTGAAATCAAGGTGCTTTGGGACAACCTAAGATCCAGATGTGTGTGCGCTGTTGACCTCCAGTAGGGCGGGTTACCTCCATGTTAGATCTGCTCAAAGCCAATGCCACGTTGAGGCTAATCTACTCACTAGCATACTTCAGCAGAGATATTGTAATATAGATGCAACGGCGTTGTACTTGATGCCGGGCTTTTGCAATTTGTCCTTATTTTTGTTTTTCTGTCCCAGCTCTCCCACTTAACTCGTAACACAGGGAAAGTGGTCACGATGTCCGGAGGTCTGGATGTCCTTCAGATGAAGGAGGAGGATGTGCTGAAGTTCCTGGCAGCAGGAACCCACCTGGGAGGTACCAACCTGGACTTTCAGATGGAGCAGTATGTCTACAAAAGAAAAAGCGACGGTATGTGAATTGCAGCGTGTGCTGTGTGGTTTAAAGATTGGACCGTGTAACATTCTCTAGTCTTCACCAGGTGTTTACATCATTAACCTGAAGAAGACCTGGGAGAAGCTGCTGCTGGCAGCCAGAGCCATTGTTGCCATTGAGAACCCGGCGGACGTGTGCGTCATCTCCTCCAGGAACACGGGACAGGTGAGGGCTAAAACAGGATTCCAACTGTGAACTGAACAAATGCAGAAAATGACATAAGTAACCAAATGTGAGCACACGATTAAAGCTAGGCATCACTGTTGGTGTTCTGGTGTCGGAAGTGTGCGAGAGTAAGCGGGCCGGGGTTTCGCTAACACCATGAGGATTTCTGTCCTATGACTGGGGTTTGATAGTGACCTGAGCCACAGTTGGTTGCTGTAGAAACGGCCCCTGGGTTGTAGCTTACTTTGAAGTCTAACTTGTTCTCTGCTCGCTGCAGAGGGCAGTCCTGAAGTTTGCCTCTGCCACTGGTGCGACCACCTTCCACGGTCGCTTCACCCCTGGTACGTTCACCAATCAGATCCAGGCTGCTTTCAGGGAGCCCCGCCTCCTGATCGTGACGGATCCCCGTGCTGACCATCAGCCACTGACTGAGGCTTCATACGTCAACATCCCCACCATTGCCCTGTGCAACACGGACTCTCCTCTGAGATACGTAGACATCGCCATCCCTTGCAACAACAAGGTGAGACAAACCGAGTGAAAACCTGTTTTATTGATGTGAAAGGAGGAACTGATGGTTATAAAGTCTACATCTAACCTAGTGGATGATTTAACTGTTTCAGGGTCACCACTCTGTGGGTCTGATGTGGTGGATGCTGGCAAGAGAGGTCCTCAGGATGAGGGGGACCATCTCCAGGGAGCACCCATGGGAGGTCATGCCTGATTTGTACTTCTACAGGGACCCTGAAGAGGTAAATGCAGAGCTTTATGCCGATGCGCTCTTGGTTTACGAGTTGGTACACGAGTAAAACGTGTTTGTGTTGCAGATTGAGAAGGAGGAGCAGGCCGCAGCGGAGAAGGCTGTCGTAAAGGAGGAGTTCCAGGGTGAATGGAGCGCTCCTCAAGCAGAGTTTCCCCAGACTGAGGTGGCTGACTGGTCTGAGGGTGTTGCTGTGCCGTCTGTCCCCATCCAGCAGTTCCCTGCGGGTACGATGGCTGCTTCCTAAACTCTGGTCGCTTCTGTGATTGTTTTTTCTAATGTGCCATTTTACTCATTTTTTTAAACTTCATTTAATTTTGTTAGCTACTACTGCTGCCGCCGCCGCCGCTGCTGCACCTGTCAAGACTGGAGAAGTTTTCTCAGGTGAGCTCATAAAACGTTTTATTGCATTAACAGTAGTTCCTGCTGGCTTCTGAACTCGTCTTTTTTTTAAAATCTCCTACAGAGGACTGGAGCACCCAGCCTGCCACTGAGGACTGGTCCACTGCCCCCACTGCTCAGGCTTCTGACTGGGGTGGTGCTGCTTCTGACTGGCCCTAAATCATTGATAATGGCAACAATAAATTGTCTCCCACTTTGACTTTGTTTCATTTATTATGATCAATAGTTTATTTTAAAAATACCCTGCAGTAAGGATTGAATATAAAGAGGCATTTGTGACCTCACCTGGATCTGTCCTTGGCTGAAGGCTGAGATGTCCGATGAGACCGTGCGTTTGGTCGGTAAATTAAGCGAATGTTAAAAAGGGGGCATGAATGTAAATTAGTATCAAGTTTCCACCATTGATTAAGCACATATGATGTAGTTGAGCAATTTGTAAAAAATGACGGAGCATCACAATGTTAGATATTTTTAAAATGTTTGGTCACGACTTACATAACAAATCTACGTTATTGCATTAAAAAGATGAATGGATCCAAACGGGCTAAAATTACGTCCATTTTACAAAATTTTCAATCGTCAGAAAAGCTGTGTGACACGGTGTAGTGTTGAAAAAAAGCCCCTTGTTGAGCACTGGTCACAGACTGCGCTTCTCAAAGCACCTGATGATAATCGTGGCCTAAATTAGAACCATTGATGCTTATGAAAAAGCGATAATCTTACTTTTTTCAGGGTTAGGGTTTTAAAATGGTGTACTTAAAAGTTGAACGTTTTGAAGTGCGTTATGCTAGGAGGTCCAAAGGCAGCAAGACGAAGTCGGCCCGCCTCGACACATTTACGTAAATTATTGTAATAATTGCTTTTATTTGTATTGTCAAACAAGCTTATGTTGGTCCCATCTTGAAAATTTTAATGTCTATTGATAATTACACATTTGTATTAGGCTTTTCCTGAACGAGAGGCGCATATGTGAGCAGGGGTACATTTTCCAGCACAACACGGGAGCTCGCGCCTGTGCAGAACAATCACATTCGCGCTTATCTGTCAGGTGGGCGTGTTTGTGCGCTGCCATTGGACAAACGCGGTTCCTCTTCCCCTCTGGTTTCTGCTTTCTTTTCATACGCCCAGCCTCCGAATAATGATAATAATGATCAAGATGGCTACTTCAAAATCCTCCTTACGGTAGCTAAACACACATTTTATGGAAGTACGCGAAACAGAGTATTTCTGTTGATTTTAAGACCCTCGTAGGTGGCGGGGCCAGTGCGAGGAATTATTCTATATGGATTACGAGGCGTGAGAGGAGACAAAAGTCGATGTTCTGCCTGCAGAACTCATTCTGAGTAAGCTAACAGCAGCGCAGCGAGCTAGCTGTACTTGTCGACACTCTCCAGGTTAGCTTCCGAAGCAACTGCCGGTGTTCTTCCCGCCCAGCGTCAAATGGCAGAGCCGAGGAAAGTGCCCTTCGTCACAATCTCCTCATTCAGCACCTCGCCGCCGAACCCGGAGCTTAGCAAGAAACGCCGCCGCGAAGATGAGGCCGTCGACATCTCTTTTGGGAAAGATGGAGGTGGATGTGGTGCGGCGGTCGGGTCAGAAGGTGGCGGAGGTCTTTTCGGTAACACGCAGGGAGGTGACGCCAACGCCGAGGAGGAGAAACCGACCGTCCGCCTCAGCCTGACGCTGAGCGAGCCGAACGAGCGAGGGTCCTCGGAGTTCAGCTACTGCGAGCTGCTCCAGACAACCACCCCCCAGGTCAGACACCGATGCGGGCACCATCATGGACACGCCGGGGTGGGGTGGGGGGGGTGGGGGTCACCAGCTAAACTAGACGCGTAAACACTAACAAGTAAACAGCAAGCGAAGCGATGATGTATAACCTTACATTTGGTAATATATCGACGAGTTGTATTCAAATATTTTTCGAATTTGTAATATAATCGTAAATAAAACGTACCAAATTTGACAGTTAAATCAGGTCAGTCAGTTATATTTCCCCATTTAGCATCAAAGCAGTGTTTGAGTGGGTTTACTCTGTAGAGTAATGGACAAAAGTCTGGCTCACATGGACAGCACGTTTCTGACTGGCCTGCTTGTGGTCGTCCATGACCCTTGGTTATTTTCCTAAAACGTTTGAAAAATAAAGCAAACAAACAGGGAAAGTGCTTCACAGAGTCAGACTCACACAGTAGGAGGAACACTTTTGGACATAACACCGGCCTCTGTAAACGCTCCCCATGAAATTGTAAAGAAATTTGAAGAATTCACATTTCACACTTTGGATCAATACAACTCTATGTTTATAATTGTTTTAATAACAATAGTTATTGGAAAATACCTAAATAAACACAGACTTTGAAATTGTGACTCTTGGTAATAACAAAGTAAACAAATCTGTATAACGTTCAGCAATATTTGTAAGCATGACAGGAAATGACATCAAAACATTAACAGGGTCTAATAATGGGAGGAGGTGAAGGTAAGAATATTAGTTTTGCCTGCACTGATTAACCAAGATGGGTTTGAGATAAACACTGAATTAAATGAGGGAAAATCTTCCATTGTACAGCTTCTGAAATGATTTCTAATAATAGTTTGGGACATCTGCAGGTTCCTCAGGTTAAGCTGGCTTGTCCCGCGGTACCTAAAGGCTTGGCTCCGCCTCTGGACCCCAGCGATCCGTTTGCTGATGATGAGAAGGAGAGACGAGAGGTCGAGGCGCTGGCCAGGAAATTTGAGAGCAAATATGTAAGTGGGAGAGTCTCCTGGTTTGTCCAGTTTGGTAACGAATGATCTCAGCAGTCGTCCCTTACTTTAGACCTTTTCTCATCGTTTTGAGAAGAATCTTTTTATTTGAATGAACAGTAGTAAAATAAATTCTAGAATAACTCGAGTTACCTTTTCATAAATCCTACATAATAATATTCAGACTTCACCTTTATTTCCCATAAAAACTTCAAATAGGGATGTCCCGATCCGATCCCGTGGTTTCAGACTGATCGGGACTCGGGCTTTACTTCCCGATCCAAGCCCCGATCCGGAGTTGGATACTGGGTTCAAATTACAGGAGAGCAACTTGGTTCTTAAAGGTTGTCAGGCTCCCCTGATGCCCTTAGCTTACACACCCAGAAGGAGCACTAAAGAGATCCAGTTTCTACCTTTATTATATTATTTATATGGACTCAGCGTAGCGGGGATTCTTCTGAGCAGAGATGCAGAGCGGCAGGCAGACCGCTGATTATTCATGAACTCCAGCTGCGTTCTGCACGGCCACAGTAACGTTTTCTAAGTTTCTAAGTGGCGTCACCAAAAAATATATAATTAGCACACAATCGTTCGTGTCCGTTCATTTTCTCTCTGGTAAGTTCTGTCTGTGTTTGAGCACGACGTGTGGACGCGCTCGCGCTTCAGCGCTCGTCACTGGTGCAGCCGGGTGGCGCGCGCTCCGCTTTTTTTGCGGTCAGTAGATCGATTTGATCTGCTGGTTAAAAAGCGACTTGTGAGGTGAAAAAGAAGGAAGCAGGCAGGAGTTTTTCTGGAGGACTGGAAGATGCAGGAAGATCAGAGACAGACGGGACAGGAAGATCAGAGACAGACGGGACAGGAAGATCAGAGACAGACGGGACAGGAAGGTCAGAGACAGACGGGACAGGAAGGTCAGAGACAGACAGGACAGGAAGACCAGAGACAGACGGGACAGGAAGACCAGAGACAGACGGGACAGGAAGACCAGAGACAGACGGGACAGGAAGACCAGAGGCAGACGGGACAGGAAGGTCAGAGACAGACGGGACAGGAAGGTCAGAGACAGACGGGACAGGAAGACCAGAGGCAGACGGGACAGGAAGACCAGAGGCAGACGGGACAGGAAGACCAGAGACAGACGGGACAGGAAGACCAGAGACAGACGGGACAGGAAGATCAGAGACAGACGGGACAGGAAGACCAGAGGCAGACGGGACAGGAAGACCAGAGGCAGACGGGACAGGAAGACCAGAGGCAGACGGGACAGGAAGACCAGAGGCAGACGGGACAGGAAGACCAGAGGCAGACGGGACAGGAAGACCAGAGACAGACGGGACAGGAAGACCAGAGACAGACGGGACAGGAAGACCAGAGGCAGACGGGACAGGAAGACCAGAGGCAGACGGGACAGGAAGACCAGAGGCAGACGGGACAGGAAGACCAGAGGCAGACGGGACAGGAAGGTCAGAGGCAGACGGGACAGGAAGGTCAGAGGCAGACGGGACAGGAAGACCAGAGACAGACGGGACAGGAAGGTCAGAGACAGACGGGACAGGAAGGTCAGAGACAGACGGGACAGGAAGACCAGAGACAGACGGGACAGGAAGACCAGAGACAGACGGGACAGGAAGACCAGAGACAGACGGGACAGGAAGACCAGAGGCAGACGGGACAGGAAGACCAGAGGCAGACGGGACAGGAAGACCAGAGGCAGACGGGACAGGAAGACCAGAGGCAGACGGGACAGGAAGACCAGAGGCAGACGGGACAGGAAGACCAGAGGCAGACGGGACAGGAAGACCAGAGGCAGACGGGACAGGAAGACCAGAGGCAGACGGGACAGGAAGACCAGAGGCAGACGGGACAGGAAGACCAGAGACAGACGGGACAGGAAGATCAGAGACAGACGGGACAGGAAGAGCAGGGACAGACGGGACAGGAAGACCAGAGACAGACGGGACAGGAAGACCAGAGACAGACGGGACAGGAAGACCAGAGACAGACGGGACAGGAAGACCAGAGACAGACGGGACAGGAAGACCAGAGACAGACGGGACAGGAAGACCAGGGACAGACGGGACAGGAAGACCAGGGACAGACGGGACAGGAAGACCAGAGACAGACGGGACAGGAAGACCAGAGACAGACGGGACAGGAAGACCAGAGACAGACGGGACAGGAAGACCAGAGACAGACGGGACAGGAAGGTTAGAGACAGACGGGACAGGAAGGTTAGAGACAGACGGGACAGGAAGGTTAGAGACAGACGGGACAGGAAGACCAGAGACAGACGGGACAGGAAGACCAGAGACAGACGGGACAGGAAGACCAGAGACAGACGGGACAGGAAGACCAGAGACAGACGGGACAGGAAGACCAGAGACAGACGGGACAGGAAGACCAGAGACAGACGGGACAGGAAGACCAGAGACAGACGGGACAGGAAGACCAGAGACAGACGGGACAGGAAGACCAGAGACAGACGGGACAGGAAGACCAGAGACAGACGGGACAGGAAGACCAGAGACAGACGGGACAGGAAGACCAGAGACAGACGGGACAGGAAGACCAGAGACAGACGGGACAGGAAGACCAGAGACAGACGGGACAGGAAGACCAGAGACAGACGGGACAGGAAGACCAGAGACAGACGGGACAGGAAGACCAGAGACAGACGGGACAGGAAGACCAGGGACAGACGGGACAGGAAGAGCAGAGACAGACGGGACAGGAAGACCAGGGACAGACGGGACAGGAAGACCAGAGACAGACGGGACAGGAAGGTTAGAGACAGACGGGACAGGAAGGTTAGAGACAGACGGGACAGGAAGACCAGAGACAGACGGGACAGGAAGACCAGAGACAGACGGGACAGGAAGACCAGAGACAGACGGGACAGGAAGAGCAGAGACAGACGGGACAGGAAGACCAGAGACAGACGGGACAGGAAGAGCAGAGACAGACGGGACAGGAAGAGCAGAGACAGACGGGACAGGAAGACCAGGGACAGACGGGACAGGAAGACCAGAGACAGACGGGACAGGAAGACCAGAGACAGACGGGACAGGAAGACCAGAGACAGACGGGACAGGAAGACCAGAGACAGACGGGACAGGAAGACCAGAGACAGACGGGACAGGAAGACCAGAGACAGACGGGACAGGAAGACCAGAGACAGACGGGACAGGAAGACCAGAGACAGACGGGACAGGAAGACCAGAGACAGACGGGACAGGAAGACCAGAGACAGACGGGACAGGAAGACAGGAAAATAAAAACCAAGAAAACAAAATAAAGTTCTTAACAAAATAAAATGTAGGTAGATTGATCCCACTACACGTGTGTACCTGTATGAAGCAGTAGCCTATCAGCATGTAGTATTTATATAGTTGATAACAATTCAGATCATCTTCAAAACTCGTCCCATGCCCAGGGGCGTATCTAAGCATTTTGGGGGCCGAGGCAAAATAGACCCCTGCCAGTTATTTTAAGTTGAAGTGCGATCTGTTTTTATATTCGACGTTTTATATTTGCAGTAAAGTCTAAAAGTGAAGAATTTATGTTATGTATTACGTGATTGTTCACGCTACCTCACAGAAGTGATCTGTTGTTAAGAATTAAAATAAAATGGTACAGGGTATCCGCGGGTCCTTAAAAAGTCTTAAATTTGCTTTTCCAAATTTAAGGCCTTAAAAATCCTTAAAAATGACAAATTATCTTTAAGTACAGTTTCCAAAGGTCTTAAATTACCAAAGACCCAATAAACAAGATTCTTATTTCTATAGAAATTCGTGAATTTCTAGTTAGTGTTCAGCATTTTTTGTGTATGATGTTGGCATAAGCGGAACCGTATACATTCAGTGAAAGGGGGCTATTTTTAGATTAGCATATTAGCTGGTTAAGCTAGTGAGAGCTTGCGCCATGGGGAAATGCAAGTTTAATGGTAACTGGATGGCTAATCCCACGTTTGTGACGTTCCAGGCAATAGCTGGAAATCATAGCTTAAATTTAATTTTAAAAAAGCAGCTTAAATTTGGTCAAAGTGGCCTTAAAAAGGTCTTAAAAAGTCTTAAATTTGGCTCCCTTAAACCTGCAGATACCCTGATGGTAATTAAATAAAAATAAGGAACATTCTGGAACTGTTTTCTTCCTTTTCTTATTTTTTTATGCATCAAAGTATCGGATCGGGACTTGGTATCGGCAGATTCTCCAAATCAAATGACTCTGACTCGAGGGCAAAACAACCTGATCGGGACATCCTGAACTACAATCGTGTAGCTTGTTCTGTGAGAAACGTGGAGCGGTGTCTCATATTTGCATGTCTTCTGATCCTTCCACTCCGTTGGTAGGGAGGCGGTCCAAAGAAGAAGAAAAAGGACCGGATGCAGGACCTCATCGACATCGGCTACGGCTACGACGAGACCGACCCGTTCATAGACAACTCGGAGGCCGTGAGTTTCACCAGACAGACCCTCCGTGTGGTAAATGTGCTGCTCCGCTCTGATGGCGTTCTTCTCTCGATCTCAGTACGATGAGCTGGTTCCTGCATCTCTCACCACCAAACACGGAGGCTTCTACATCAACACGGGCACTCTGCAGTTCAGAGCTGCGTCCGACTCTGAGGGGGAGAACGGCGCCGCAGACGATCATCACTTCAAGGTCGGTTCCTTTTCTTTGTCCTCGGCAGGTCGGACCAGCGGGACAAACACCGAGGCCTGTTGCTAAGCGGCAGAAATAACGCCGGTGTTCTGTTGGATCTGTTTGTAGAAGGTGAAAGACGGCGAGGAGCGAGTGATCAAAAAAACGAAGGAAAAAGCAAGATGGTGGAATTCTAGAAGACAAGAAACCCAGAAAGAATAAAGTACCGAAGCCTGGGTATGTTTCCCGTTGCTGTTCGCTCTCTACGCTCTCTCTCTCTCTCTCTCTCTCTCTCTCTCTCTCTCTCTCTCTCTCTCTCTCTCTCTCTCTCTCTCTCTCTCTCTCTCTCTCTCTCCTCTCTCTCTCTCTCTCTCTCTCTCTCTCTCTCTCTCTCTCTCTCTCTCTCTATCTATCTCTCTCTCTCTCTCTCTCTCTCTCTCTCTCTCTATCTATCTATCTATCTATCTATCTATCTATCTATCTATCTATCTATCTCTCTCTCTCTCTCTCTCTCTCTCTCTCTCTCTCTCTCTCTCTCTCTCTCTCTCTCTCTCTCTCTCTCTCTCTCTCTCTCTCTCTCTCTCTCTCTCTGTCTCTCTCTCTCTCTGTCTCTCTCTGTCTCTCTCTCTCTCTCTCTCTCTCTCTCTCTCTCTCTCTATCTCGGAACGCTGTTGTGGAAGCACAGTATAAACGTTCACTCATGCATACATGTTCCAATAGGTCAGGGGTCACATGCAGACGTTACTGGTCTGGTTAGAGGATGTGTGCTCCTGGATGTCGACAAACCTTTTATGTTGTAATGACAACAGGAACTGCCCTGCCTTAGATTACGGAGCGTTCCTGTACGTTCTCTCTGCTCATCTGTCAAAGATCCGTCTGCGGTTCCAAGGTCTAAACCGTTGACATATATATATATATATATATATATATATATATATGTGTGTGTGTGTAAACGCGAGCCGCGGGGGGGGTATATCATTCTCAGTTTTGGCGCCTAAACTGTGGCATGAGAGCCTGGCCTGCCAGCCTCGTCCTCTGTTTCATTCTGCACAGAGAAAGGGTCTGGGAACTCCAAATAACCCCACCCCGTGAGATTCTAACCGAGCCAATCAGCGCTGAGCAGCGTGCGTCACACACCACAACGCCGAGTCTGTCATAAACATGGCGACTGAAGCGGAGTTCGCGGCGGCTCTTTCCTCTGGTCTAAATGACTTGGACACGTCTTTAAAACCACAAGTAGAAGCGCCAACGTCTTGGCGCTGTCGCCAGATGCCATTTCTGACTACAGCGTGGCGGACGTCACACACAGCGACGCTCAGTTTCTCATAAACAATGAAGACAGCGGTGGAGTTAACTGCGGTTCGTTCCTCTGGTCTAAATGACTCGGACACGTCTTTAAAACCACAAGTAGAAGCGCTAAAAGCCTTTCTTCCTTACAGAAAAGATGTGTGCGCCGTCGCCACACGTCTTTTTTTTTTTTACCACAGCTAAAAAACTACAGCGTCTTGCGGCGCAGTCGGCATTTCAGAAGGTGACATTTAGATCCTTTTTGATCGTTTAAACACTTATTTTTACTAAAGTTTATCATCACACGATGGTTACAATAAATACAGTTTAAAAACCAGTCTGTAGGTCATCACGTCTAAAATATTTCTGTTTCAGTTTTAATACCAAACTTTTATGAGTGAACAAATAATAATAATAATATATTTTATTTAACAGTGCCTTCATGACACCCAAGGACAACAATAGAGATAAAAGAGCCTAAAAGTCACGTATTAATGAACGTTTATTACAGAAAAATGGTACTTCTTAGCGTGTGCTCGATGACGAGGACTCACTGCTGCTGGAGATGATGATGATGATGGTGATGGTGACGATGATGATGATGGTGATGGTGATGGTGACGATGATGGTGACGATGATGATGATGGTGACGATGATGATGATGGTGACGATGATGATGACAATGATGGTGACGGTGATGATGGTGATGGTGATGATGGTGATGATGACGATGATGATGATGGTGACGATGATGATGATGGTGGTGGTGATGGTGATGATGATGACGATGATGGTGACGATGATGATGATGGTGATGATGAAGATGATGGTGGTGGTGATGGTGATGATGGTGGTGGTGATGGTGATGATGGTGATGATGGTGACGATGACGATGATGGTGATGATGATGGTGACGATGATGATGATGGTGACGATGATGGTGATGATGGTGACGATGATGATGATGGTGACGATGATGATGATGGTGACGATGATGATGGTGGTGGTGATGGTGATGATGGTGACGATGATGGTGACGATGATGATGATGGTGACGATGATGATGATGGTGACGATGATGATGATAGTGACGATGATGGTGATGATGAAGATGATGGTGGTGGTGATGGTGACGATGGTGGTGGTGATGGTGGTGATGGTGATGATGGTGACGATGATGGTGACGATGATGATGATGGTGACGATGATGATGATGGTGACGATGATGGTGATGATGGTGACGATGATGGTGACGATGATGATGATGGTGACGATGATGATGATGGTGACGATGATGATGATGGTGACGATGATGGTGACGATGATGATGGTGGTGGTGATGGTGATGATGGTGACGATGATGGTGACGATGATGATGATGGTGACGATGATGATGATGGTGACGATGATGATGATAGTGACGATGATGATGACAATGATGGTGACGGTGATGATGGTGATGATGACGATGATGGTGACGATGATGATGATGGTGATGATGATGGTGGTGGTGGTGGTGATGGTGATGATGATGACGATGATGGTGATGATGATGATGGTGATGATGATGGTGACGATGATGATGGTGGTGGTGATGGTGATGATGGTGGTGGTGATGGTGATGATGGTGGTGATGATGGTGATGATGATGGTGATGATGGTGACGATGACGATGATGGTGATGATGATGGTGGTGATGATGGTGACGATGATGGTGACAATGATGATGATGGTGACGATGATGATGATGGTGACGATGATGGTGACGATGATGATGATGGTGACGATGATGGTGACGATGATGATGACAATGATGGTGACGGTGATGATGATGATGATGACGATGATGGTGACGATGATGATGATGGTGATGATGATGGTGATGGTGATGATGATGACGATGATGGTGACGATGATGATGATGGTGACGATGATGATGATGGTGATGGTGATGATGGTGGTGGTGATGGTGATGACGATGATGGTGACGATGATGATGATGGTGATGGTGATGATGAAGATGATGGTGGTGGTGATGGTGATGATGGTGGTGATGGTGATGATGACGATGATGGTGACGATGACGATGATGGTGACGATGAAGATGATGGTGGTGGTGATGGTGATGATGGTGGTGGTGATGGTGATGATGATGGTGATGATGGTGACGATGACGATGATGGTGATGATGATGGTGGTGATGGTGGTGGTGATGGTGATGATGATGGTGATGATGGTGACGATGATGGTGACAATGATGATGATGGTGACGATGAAGATGATGGTGGTGGTGATGGTGATGATGGTGGTGGTGATGGTGATGGTGATGATGATGATGGTGATGATGGTGACGATGATGGTGACAATGATGATGATGGTGACGATGATGATGATGGTGACGATGATGATGATGGTGACGATGATGGTGACGATGATGATGACAATGATGGTGACGGTCACTGCCTGGCGGCTGCATTGCCCCTGGGTGGGTCTGGGTGGGGGCCTGGGGGCTCGGGGTGTTGGGGTGGCCGGCCCCGTGTGGGGATCTGGGCTGGGCCTTGGGGGTCGGGTCCCTACATGTACGCTGCCGGGAAGAAGGCAGGAATACGCAGAAGTACCTGGCCCGGGTTCAGGGGCGTAGGGCAGGCCCTGGCTCCTCTGTTGTCCCATCACAGGGGAGGGGGAGGTCCAGGAGGGGGAGGACCCAACCTTACCTGGATGTCTTATGTCTTATATATTCTGGAAGTTGTGCAAATGCAGGGATGGGCATAGATATTCTGCTGGGGTGGGGCTGGGTCGGCTCCCTCGGGCTCTGTGGGGCTCTGTGATGCTGCTGCTTTGGGCCCTGGCAGGATGGGCTGGGGTCTCCATGCCCTGGGCAGCGGTATGACAGCGGAGGTGCCTATTGGGGTCAGTGGGGGAGCTGGCTCCCTGGAGGGCTAAGCCCTACCAGCCATTCCTCCCCATCCCCGTTTATTTCTCTCCTCCTGCTCCCTCACATCATCACACAAACATGCACATAGGACCTTGGGGGGTGGACAAGTCGAGGAGTGCGGGTATGGACCCCATTTCCGCATTCCTGTGGCTTCCTGCCCCCCAATTTTATTTGCACCTTATGCACTTCCACCGACGACATTCCACGCAAACATACACTTAGGGCCTTGGGAGTGAGCACATTCAACGGCACTTGGCAGGGGGAGTTCTCAGCCTCCTCCCGAGTGCCGGTGCCCACTTCGAATTTTAAACTGCATTTAGACACCAAGGGCTGTGGGTGCAAGTAGGGTGGTGCAGTGGCATCAGCTGGCATAGGCCAGAAAATGCCCGCACTGCCCGCTCACCACAGCAATAGAATACACCTCATTAACACACAACACTATGTTGGAGCAGGTGGAGGGAGACCAGGGGGTCTTAGCACACCTCTGTTGTTGCTTGGCTGCCTGGGGCTGGAGACTAGGAGGGAGATCTGGCCGTCTGGTTGGGGTCTGGGGTGGTGGGTTGCTGTGCTCGGCGGTGGGCGGGGGAGCCTGCTCATCAGCACCCCAGCAGAAAGGGTCAAACTCTGGTAACCGGTGGTGGTTGTACCCCATGTGCAGCATTACCGGGACCAGAGTGAATAGGGTGTGTATGGGGAGCATGAATGAGTGTCCGGCGTGTATTTTTGTAAGTCTTTGGTTGTATGTGCATGTGTGAGCATGAGGGAGGGAGTGTGTGACTGTGTTTGTGTATGACTGTATATGTCAGGTGGGGCCTTTGACTCCTCCCTTCTCCTGGGACCTCCTTTGATGATATAGATCTTCGTCTCCCCTCCCCCTGCCACACCTGGTGTGGGTGTGATGCCTTGGTCTGCCTGAGTGTTCGTGGCTCCCGGGTCAGGGAGTTTAAGATTTTTGGCATCTGCCTGATCAATCCCGGTGGCGGCCTGGGGGGGTCTGGGTCCCTGGGCTCTGCTGGGTCCCCGGCGGGGGTGGTCGCCCCTGGGTCCCGGGTCGCTGGGTCCCGGACTCGGCCGGCTAGGGGGTGGGAGGCTGCGGGCAGGCCTGAGGACTTGCCGCTGATATCTCCCGGGGCTCTGCCGGCTGCTGGTTGTGGCCCCCCGGGGCGATCCTCTGTGCCTCTCGAGGGGGGCGGGGGCCTTTCTGGTTGCGGGCTCCTTGGGGTTCCTGTGTTCTGGGGCAGCGCCTGGATCTCTGGGACTTGGAGCTCCCCCCCGTCTCCTACGCGTCTTTGGGGGGCAGATCTGTGGTCCCTCACACTCTCTGTTGGACGCTCCTATAGATAAACCTTACATAAACAAGCGCGTGTACACACACAGGTGCTCACATGGTGCTCTCATAAGTATGGGCTTGGGCACGTTCAACACATGTCTTAAGACTATGGTGGGCACTCAATGCACTGTGGTATATTATCGTGTGACTGTTTAGTTAAACAATGATTGATTATATATTTCTTCATCAAGTTGACGCAGTGATAGCTTGATTTTGTTATATTGGTGTTGTGTCCCATTTTTTTGTTATGTTTTGCTTTTTTCTCGTCTCATTTTGCAGGTCTAGAAGCAGACTCTTGTTCATTATTGTTTATTTTTGTTGAATCCCCCCCCCACCTAACCCCCTCTCTCCCCACCTTTTCTCTTTTCCTTTCTCTTTCACCTCTGTCTCCGTGTCTGGTCGAAATTACAAAGCATTCAAAAACAATAACAATAAAGTTTTAAATATCAGGTGCGACATTAAAAGCAGACTCTTTGATGCTCCACCTGAGACATTAAAAGCAGATGCTCTGATGCTCCACCTGAGAGTAAAACTGTAAGGCTTGTTACCAGCATTCAGACATCAATTCTGCTTGCTTCACAGCCAGACAGGACACGTTAAAAAAAAAAAAAAAAAAAAAAAAAAAAGACAATGATGGTGACGGTGATGATGATGATGATGACGATGATGATGATGGTGACGATGATGATGATGGTGATGGTGATGATGGTGGTGGTGATGGTGATGATGATGACGATGATGGTGACGATGATGATGATGGTGACGATGATGATGACAATGATGGTGACAATGATGATGATGGTGACGATGATGATGATGGTGATGATGAAGATGATGGTGGTGGTGATGGTGATGATGGTGGTGACGGTGATGATGGTGATGATGACGATGATGGTGACGATGACGATGATGGTGACGATGATGATGATGGTGGTGATGGTGATGATGGTGATGATGACGATGATGATGACAATGATGATGATGATGATGGTGACGATGATGATGATGGTGATGATGATGGTGGTGATGATGATGATGGTGGTGACGGTGATGATGGTGATGATGACGATGATGGTGATGATGACGATGATGGTGACGATGACGATGATGGTGACGATGATGATGATGGTGACGATGATGATGATGGTGTTGGTGATGGTGATGATGGTGATGATGACGATGATGGTGACGATGATGATGACA